AATTGGGTTATTTCGAAGTTCTAGCCACTGCAGGTTGGGCAAGCTGATGAACAGTGAACCTGTGACAATGGATATCTGGTTGCCTTCAAGATATAAATTCTGCATACAAAAATCAATTATAATTAATTGATAAATAATAAAAATTAATTATACAGATGTATTAAATTGTTGGCCTAATGTTCTAGGATACATTCCTGAATTTATACTTGAAAACCACTGCAGGATATATAGTATATAACAGGGTGGGTATAGGCTTACACTGAAGTGCAAGTTGACCTTTAGTGTGCTATTTTTCAAAATACTTTCTGCAACATCTTTTAGCTTAGTTCTGCTCAGAAACAATGTCTCTGTCAAATAATACTCAGCAATCTACTCTGGTTTAGTATCCTCAGGCAGAATGCAGGGGGTCTGTGGTTTGACAAAACAGTTCCCAAAGACATAGCTTAGCTGCAGGTCAGGAACCTCCACTTTCTCCACTGGGGACGACATTGTGGTACTGTAGTAAGATGAAATGTGTGATGTACACAACACCGTTGCCCAGAGTGTTTCAAGCCTTCGTTTTCACTGGCGATTCCCTCCCTGCGCCTGAAAATAAGACAGGTGACATAGATATAAAAGTCAATGTGCAAATTTCGTCTAAACAGCAAAACTTGGATTTTAGCTTGCTTTCACACAGGTGTTAGCTACTCATTCTCTGCTGCTGCCTAACATTAGCTAACATTAAAGCTAGCAAACTGTTCTTTTACTACTGACCCCCTTGAAAACTGTAGCCTACCGCAGTATAACTTACCAGTCCTGCCTTGCGTTTGAGGAAAAATACTCATAACCCTGCGAAACTGGCTCAGTGTCTTCTTAATACAACAACAGAAAACACTTCATAAACAGAACAATAGTAATAGAAAATAACATATCTACCACGAGTTTGACGGCGTAACCATGGCAACGCTGTCAACACAAACTATGGCTGTCTACGTGCAATGAGCCTTTTTATGTGAAGCGCATTAATACTTTGTGATTGTGAGCAGTTCACATGCCCAAGCTACACTGAACAACATGATAAATGTCCTATTTATAATGTGCAGTACTGTAACCACGTGGAGCAACAGGAGCAAGTAGTGTGCATTCTGATGATAAATTGTTAAATCCCTCCTTCTCACCTGCAACACCCGCCCATCATGTAATGAGATTGTGGAAGAATTCAGAGGTTCATTTGGGCTGGAGGATCGTAGCAGTTTTGCTGTTAATAAACAATTTAAACCTTTCAATTTACGGGGCTATCTTGGTTTAACCTAGAGAGGCTGGTCCTAATGTGTTGATACGCGCATGGCAGCCTGTGATACACAACTACGTCGACTACAGTCACTGGCCAGCAACTGTCACACTACTCTCACAACTTCCAAGTTAGTCAGAACACTGGAGGACAACTTCCGGCTATTATTTTCAATATAAAAGTCTGATTAACAAACGCAGTGAAAGTATTTTTTCTGCCCCACTAAAGCTTCTTACGTGCTCTGTACGCTAGACTATAGTGAGAACCATGTTTTTATTTTTATGCTTATTTATTTTTCCAAATTTTACATTATGCTGATTACTTACATGTATTGTTTGGTCGAGTGTAATCCGTCATTAATTAACTTTGTATAGCATATTGTATTAACGTAAATGTAAACGGTTTAATGTAAATATCATTTTTATTAATCAATTTAAAGTGATTAATTATTATTCATCTGGGTTATTAATCTGTGTTCACGTGAGTGCAGCAGAGTAAGTGCGGTGCTTCCACAAAGCTTTTACTTTTAACGCAATGTAGTTAGACTTCCTATTTTTGTTATAGCGAGTTGAAACTCGACGCAGCATTTACTCAGCCTCGACAAACGCAAGTGTCTAGGTTGGGCTGGCTGTCTACGGAAACGAATACTACCAGTACCGAGTGATTATCTGAACTCTCAGCTGTAACAAACCCAAGTCTTTTTAATAACATTTTACGATCCAACTGTACCTGCTACCCTTGCTGTTTACTGGTTTATATAGACTTTAACTGGCGGTACTACCATTTTCGACAGAACAAATAGCGGCTAAATAACCAAATAACGGACACGGTTTGAGTGTAATGTAGTATTAATAAATGTGTTATTATTAGTCTTTTTCGGAGCGTGTCCGACACAGAGCTATAGGTTCTCTTCAAGAGGCGAGGAATGCAATCTGAGCATCAATGTTTCATTGGAGCAAGTGGAAGAAGAGGATGGGAGCCAATAGTTCTTCTAAGAGACCAGTTTTCGATGAGAAGGAAGATGGTAAGTGATGGAAAAGTAACGCTAACGGGTTGCCCCAAACACTAACGAAAAATAACACTCCCGTAGAAGTTGTAGTTACTCTGTTTGTGTTGGTCATTAACGGCATCTTTCTAGTTAGCACTAGCTTGTACCAAAATTAAGTTGTTGAAGTGTCTCATGGGAATTAAAATAAAGACACAAGAACACTTCCGTTTCAGGCTGTCTGCTGCAACATTTAAAATATAATAATAATGTAAAATGACAGAATATAAAGTTTCCGCTTCAAATCAGCTTATGTGAGCATATAGTGAATATCTTTCTCTCAAGGCATTACAGTCAGTAAAAAACATCTGTAAGAAAACAGAGCAAACTCTTTGAATTATAGACTATGTGAAGACAGAGTTAATTGCATAATTAAGACAAGATTAGTGTCATGCATGGCAGTAATGTTAATTCATTATATCAATATAGGGGAAACAAGCCGTATGGAAGTGCACTCAGTAACCTCAGCACCGAATCACTGAATCTCTGTGGTAGACTGGAGAAGCTGTTGTTACAGAGCTATAGTCAGTGTACTGGCCAAGTTACAGGCAAAACCTGAGTAAATTAGGTCATTTCACTGCAGGGATGTGGTCATATGGCTCTCATATACAAGAACAAGCCAAACAAGCCTTCCAGCTTTTTGTCAATAGCAATGAAGAAACATGTCCAGCAGTAATTAAAGTAACTCTCAAGGGCCGTGGTTATTAAAAAGCATATGAGTGGCCCTATAGCTTCAAGTGGTTTGCCTGCTACGATTGGAAGCCAAGACACACACATTTATGTATTAAGTTTTAGACCAGACTGTTCAGGTTCTATAGCTCCTCTGTGTGATTAAAGAAGACAACCGGAGGCTGAGAGCTGAACCACTCAAAGCTGAGATGGTGTGTTTGTGTACATGGGGGTGCAACCGTCTTCATTATCAGACAGAAATCAGACATCAATATGAGGCAGGTGCCACTTACGTACCTACAAAACAGTAATAACACTTGTGCTTCAATTTAATTTTCCATCCACTGTATCAAGAGTGGGTGCAGTTGCATCATCAGCATTACCTGCTTTTGTCACAACCATGATGCACAACCTGAAGTTAGATCTGTACAAAGATGCATTCTAGAGTGTATCCCTCTATGCAGCAACAAAACGCTGATGTGCTGGTAAATAGTAGGTATGAAGTAAACTGGAAGGAGGCATATTACAAAGGGCCTACACTTAAATGTCAGTCAGATCACCTTGCAAAGTGCTGATTCTGCACAGTTAACAGTCTTTGTAAAGCAGCTGTTTCACTTTTACCCTGTTCATCTTTCAAAGAGCTGCTTAGCCCTGATAACAGTTTCGGCAAACCATGGTGCACTGTCTTGTGGATGCTGACTTTCAGTCTAAATGTTTCCCGCTGACTGTCAGGTCTCTTAGAAACAGTATTACTCGGCTTCTTGGAAAACAGTATATGGCTTATGTTAAACAGTAATATAGTAATGTCTGACTCTAAATGCTGCAAACATAATCAGCTGGTCAGGTCTGAGCATAGCTGGCAAAAGGACTTTTTTGGCAGATACAGTGGGGCAAATAAGTATTTGAAACACTGCCAATTTTTCAAGTTTTCCCACTTACAGAGAATGGACAGTTCTGTAATTTTCATCGTAGGTACACCTCAACTCTGAGAGACAGACTCTACAAAAAAATTCAAGTAAATCACATTGTTAGATTTTTAAATAATTTATTTCCATTTTATTGCATGAAATAAGTATTCAATCACCTACCAACCAGCAAGAATTCTGGCTCTCACAGACCTGTTAGTTTGTCTAACTCCTATCCTCCACTCATTGCCTGTACAGGTATGTGCCAAAAAATTAGAATATTGAGGAAAAGTCAATTTATTTCAATAATTTGTTTCAAAAAGTGAAACGTGTATGTTATATTAGTTCACTGCACACAAAGTGAAATATTTCAAGCCTTTATTTGTTTCAATTTTGATGATTATGGATTAAAGACAAAAAAAAAACCCAAATCCAGTATTTTACAAAATTAGAATATCATGACAAAGTTCAACATTGTAGGCTCCCTGTGTCCCAATCTAGTCAGCTAATTAATGCAAAACACCTGCAAAGGTTTCCTCAGCCTTGAAATTGTCTCAGTCTGGCTTAGTAGGCTTCAGAATCATGGGGAAGACTGCTGACTTGATGGTTGTGCAGACGACCATCATTGACACCCTCCATAAGGAGGAACAGGCAATTGGAAAAGAAGCTGGATGCTCACAGAGCGCAGTATCAAAGTATATTAACAGAGTGTTAAGAGGAAGGGAAGAATGTGGCCGGAAAAGGGGCAAAAGTGACAGGGATGACCGCAGCCTTGAGAGGATTGTCAAGCAAGGGCAATTCAGAAATCTGGGGGAGCTTCATAAGGAGTGGACTGAGGCTGGTGTCAGTGCATCAAGAACCACCACATACAGACGTCTGCATGACATGGGCTACAGCTGTAGAATTCCATGCGTCAAGCCACTCCTGAACCAAAAACAACGTCAGAAGCGTCTGTGCT